CAGCAAGAAATCCGGGATGGGTAATTATGAAAATCCCGTAGTAGTGAATGGAGAAGAGCCACCACGGACCCTACTAAGATGGTTTCCAATTGCCGCAAATCCATTCTATTGTGCGCCATCTCCAGTTCTTTTTCTTAGCTCAGTGGACCGGACAACACGACGCGCTGCGCATGTGCAGCTTTTCGCCTGGGTCGGGGCGCCGGTCTACGACTAAAACATCCACTTCCCTTCCAGACGCCGCGGTCGACGGATCTATAGCAGACAACGGGGAAGAGCGGCTGCTCCCGGTCGCGTAGACAGGGTTGCTTGGCGTACGCGTGGAATGCCGCATCTGGCATCCTACACACACTCTCCTCCCGCCTCCACGGACGCGGACGTGCGAACCATCGAGAGCGTATCCGATAGTCCGGGCCTTTTCATATAGGCCTAGGCCGTACTAATGACAGCCATTATTTATTTCACGGTCGGATGGCTAGGATGCGGCGAGTATATATAATAATTCCAGCGGTAGGGTAAAACGGCAAAATGCGAACACCCGAAAGTTGAGTCGAAACGCACAAACCATAAGGTCGAGACGACCGCTATGATGTGCATTCAACTCGACCTCAAGGCGCGTGCGTTCGACCCGTTTTACCCTACGGGGGCCAGTGGAACGGCAGATCTGTGCTTGGGCTGGTACTTTCTGGTACCGATCCGTACTCACTAGTCCAGGGGTGTCAAACTCGATCAGGCTGGGGGCCGGATGAGAGCCTTTGGGGTTGATAAGGGGCTACAATAAAAATACAACACCTAATCTCTACTGCAAACAGGCTGAAATGCGAAGCACTTTTTCGTTATCAACTGTTGAAGAGGACTTCGCGGGCCGCCAGTTTGACACCCCTGCCTGCTCTAGTCTAACAACTCAATTAATTATTCACTAAGGGACCGAGAGAATCGAGCTCTCGATTACGGGCCGAATCGCTCGAGAAGCATATAATTACTGAATTACTGGACCTACAAGGACCTCCGACAAAAAAATTCGCGTGAATCGGCTCCATCATCCGATCCGCATCGTTTTCGGCAGAGTCCGACGGGCTTTCGCCGGAATTGCTGTCCGCACGAGAAGCTCGGCCCGCCTCGTACCCCATTGAGACGAAGAACGGGGAGATAAATGGAAGAAAACGAAAATGATTTAATGGAGTCTCACCGGTGCGCAGGGTTCGGTGGCTCGGTCCCCATCTGGCGTCTGCCCCGTCGCTGGGGGAAAACAACATAGCGGAACTCTTTATTAACACGGATCTGCATTGCGTTGGGCCGAGCACATGGGAAATTCGATGCGGGGAATGGAATGTGGAGGTCGGAAGGGACGCGCGGAGGTTTGCGGAGGCTGGTGGAGGTTTGTGGGGGTTTGTGGAGGTTGGTGGCGCTCACCTGCGTGGAGGAAGAGAAGAAGGAAGAGGTGGATCGGCTTCATTGCGGTCCGAGCATGTCACGCTTCCAGTCTCGATCGGTCGCCGGTCCGGCCCGGACGCTTCCTGTGTCCCGTCCCAGCTTCCTGTGACCTGTCCGCGCTTCCTGCGTCACGTGGATGCTTCCTGCGATCCGGGGGCACTCGGGGTTGCCGGGCGACACACACTCGCGGAACGGCACCGAAATCGATAGAACGAAGCAATGCATCGACCGCGAAGGGGACCGATACGAGAGTGGCGATACGGGCAACCTGAGATAAAATGACGAAGGTTAGAGAAGCAAGGTCGGCCGAGGGGTGACGCCTTGCGTGGAGGAAAGGCAGGCTCGCGTCGCGTGGATGGATGGCAAGGCAGGCTCGCGTCGCGTGGATGGATGGCAAGGGAGGCTCGCGTCGCGTGGATGGATGGCAAGGGAGGCTCTCGTCGCGCGGAGTGAGGCAGGAATCCGCCTCCGTCATTCCGTTTCCACGGGGCACGCCGTTCTCATCCGCTTCAGCAGTATTTTTTTCCCTTTTTTTTGTTGCACTCCGCATTGCCTTCTCGACTGATGTTTCTATCGATTTCCCGAGAATGCGCTCGGAAGGATCCAGAAAAATCTTTCAAAATGAAAGTAAACCAAGGAATTTCCATGGGATTTCCATCGCGCATACAACGATTAATCCATATAATCCGAAAGAATTCGAGAAAGTGCCTAGTCTTAAATGCCCACATCTTATCGTTACCACAATATTCCCGCCTTCTAAAGCAGAAACTTAAGTTGCACCCGAGCGAGGATTAAGGAATTTCAGTTATAAAATTAATTTGCACGGGACTGTTTTTAGCAAGATTTTGATCGCAATAGTCGCAACGATGTTTCACCCTCCCATATTGTTTACACTTGATAAAATACAGGGTGCGGCAGAATGGAGTCCCACATTTAAAAGGTTAATAAAAAAGAAACGGTAAAAGATACGAAAAAAAACTTTTATTTCTGAAAAGTACATGTAATAAGGTTTCATTTACTTAGGTTTTAAAAATTATATCGGGCAAATGGCGGCCGTCATGGATGATACACTTCCGAAGTGCTTCCCTGAAGTGTTGCATCACTCTCTTCAGCATATCTCGAGGAATAGCGGCGATTTCTTCTCTTATCGCCTCCTTCAGTTGTTCGAGAGTTTGAGGCCGATGTTTGTAGACCTGAACTTTGAGGTAGCCCCACAAAAAAAAA